ATTGCTGTCGCAATGATCAAAGTTTTGTTGTTGCATAACAAACTATAAGAATTTGATATCTTTCAAAAAATGCTGCTGAATTTTTTCAAAAAGTGATCAACATCTTTCAAAAGTGTAAATTTTTTCTCCAATAGTGATCAAAATCAAATTAATGCATATCTGATAAGCATTGATCCAATGAATCTAACTTGTGTTTCTTTTGTTAGGTATTTGTGTTGTTAGAAACATAATATAATTTGAACGTGATTGAAAAGATTTCAAATTTTGGTTTGATCTCCATCAAACTTCTCAAGCCAGCTTATTTGTAATTCTTTTGATGCTTGTGTAACTTCAAGAGTTGGAACATGATTTGGAGCACGAGCAAATTGAAGTTGTTCCATGGCATTTTTTAGACTAGCAATCTCTTGTTGTTGTTGTTGCAGCATGTCAATCACATCGTGCATATGGATGTTAGAAATGACATTCATCTTGCTAATGGAATCTCGTCAAACTTTTGTGGAAGACAACTCAACAAGATCTAAAATAGCACTCGAAGCTCCAAAACAGGCAGTGATAACACTCAAAGCTAGAAAGGTGGAAGCAATAACAACCTAAGTGAAAGAACTAGAAGTACCGTTGATATTGTAAGAGCAGGTACAACAAATTTTAACAAGAGTGACTAACAATGTATTGAGACTATCTATTTATACTACAGAGTTAAACCTTCCAATAGTGACGTACATTGGTTCTAGAGTTTTATGTCACTATTGGGAGTTGTCACTCACACAAGGTTAGGTAGTATTTAGCTAATCATATAGATACATTATTCTTTCACGTTTAGCGAATCCGCTAAATATTTAGCGGATCATTTGGCTATTGAAACTTCAACGTACATCCACAGTAATAAGTGAAATTATAGTTGCTTGATGTTCACAATGAAAAGATTTCTATAACAGAAGATTTTTGTACTCGATTATATATTAACAATTTCTACTAAAGAATATTTCTTGGATATTTGTACTCAATTGTATATTGACAATGTCTACTACTCCAAGAGTTCCATGACTCAATCGTGGAGAGATTTTTCTCATTTGAAAAATGTTGGGAATCAATTTTGCAAAATTGAATGCTCTCTAGCTTACAATGGTGGTTATAATCAACATGAATATCAATTGGTTCGAAGATATTCATGAGATTCATCCACAGCCATGTTTTCCTTTGTAAAGTCACATGGTCATCTGCATGCATGTATAATTATATGTCGTGTCTTTGACTTCAATCAAAGAATGTATCTGGACTCGGGTGTAATTCACACATCCTTCATCATAAAGGAAGAGTTCTGATTCAGGAACAATCCTAAAGTGGCAATCTCAAAGTGGCAATTTCATGATGGAGGCCGCGACTTGATACCATGAGACGGATTCTAATGATCACATGAAACTCTTCTATGGAAAACGTCGGGGGACTCGGTGATGATTCTGGGTTTTCAAGTGGCCGACTTTGTTCCTCAAAGTTCTATGCAAGCAAGACTGCTGCTTTCTTGAAGGATTCAACTTGAGTATCTACTTCACAATGGATGAAGATTTGCATTCCGACTCTTCCCAACTGATTCATGATTTTGAAAACGCGTCAGAACTGAGTTCAGATTCACAAGTTTAATCTTAGAAATTGTAAGAGCTAATCGAAGAGTCCAAGATTTCAATCGGAATTGAATTTTCCATTTTTCCCTCAGATAACTCGGACTATATCCACGCAAAGTGTTTGGATCACATCGAGCACTAACGCCACCCCGGGAAAACCTTTGTATGATGTGCAAAATGATATCAACTCCTTTACGATATGCTTCATTGCGTAATTCAAAACTCCCTTCTTTAATTTATGCTCCGATCATAAAATCAAAACATCCACATATTTTTGTAACCTGTCTTGCTAGACATAAATTTGATTGATGTCCGTCAAGGAAAAGTAGCATATAATAACAAGAGCAGTTCACAGTTGACGCATTCAATCTTCTCACATTATAATTGAAACCATGATTCAACCTCACTGGAAGCATAGAAAAAAAGCATGATTCCAAACCTGCAAGCTATGAACGTATACTTTTGATAATTATGATAGTCATGAAAGCTTTACGATGTCACTATTGCCAATAGTGACGAACAGTTCTTATTGGGCAGATTTATACATTAGAAACTAATGGTTTCACACTTTCATGTCACTAATGAGAGTATGTCACTTGTAGGAGGTAACACTATTGGGATGTTTAACTCTGTACTAAGACTTTATCGAAATACTCTAAAGTTGGAAAATTGATACCGAGTGAAAAAGAAATGAGAGTTGAAAAAAAGTTGGCACTCTATGTCAACTATCACTACTATCATTATGTTTGTGACACTAGATCCAATAGCATCACAAAGGACTTATTCTAGAATGATGTGTTAATTAAAATGTTCATTAAATTCTTCATCTGTAATACTAGCTAGTGTTATATGTATTTGCAACAAAAAATTATTGTCTAATATATTTTACACGTTAACTTAAAAATATATATACAATTTATACTATTTGGAGATCTTATTAAAGAATTTTCCATGAATTTTAGAATATATGAGAATTCATACATTGCATTCACATTGAAAAACCTTTATATATATATATATATATATATATACATGTTTCTTTGTAATTGCACACAATATAATATATTTTTTTAATTAAAATTAGAATTTAAATTTGACAATTGATTAAGAACATGTGAAAAGAAATGTTTCAGATCAAAATTCAGTGTGTTAGTTGAAAATAATATTAAAAAAATCAATTTTATTGTTCACTTAAGAATCATATCATCAATACACTAAGAATGAAATAAATTATGAGGTTAATATCTAATTTCATTGCACATATTGATAAGATTATGAAAACAAAAATAAATTTGCAGTATGTATTTTTCATTTCAAAATTTATGAAAATTCTTCCATGTTCCATTTAAGTATCATCATCCTCGTTAAACCCCAATATTAAATTGATTGTGAACATTGATATTTCAAAAGAGTAAAATAATTATTTTGATGTAGTTTAAGAAGACTATGATGCACAACTCAATCTAGAAATATATTTTTTTCATATCATAATATTAACTTCTACAACAATACAAGTTTTTACAAACAAAAATAATGAACCAAAAGAAACATCAGATTCCAACATTGAAACCCTATATGCAAAATTCAAAAATTATTTTTATTCTCTAAATTAAATTCAATCAAATTCAATTCAATGTAATTTATTGTAAAATTACAAGTAACATCATTTAATATTTTAGTAGAAACTAATGATTAAGAAAGCATCTTATCTCAATACAATAACATTTACTATTGCATTTAGTTTCATACATGATAGTTTGTATCAAGTATTAAGCTTCAAAACATTTACAATTTTTCATCATAATTTTATTGTAAAAAATCAAACTATATAGTTTTTTATGAATTCAATTAGCACAAGCTTAAAGAATATACATGTGTGTGATTCATTGAATATGTTTGATTGTAAATTTAATATCTAATTATATATTTTTTGGATATACTGCCCCGGCCTTGGTCTTTGAGTTTTGTAAATTCTCATATTCAGGAAAGGTTCTATAATGTTAAAAACTGATTGAAGTTAGTGTTAATTAGTTAATCTTACTAAAGTTAGTCTTTTAATCTCTTATAAAAATTTATTGAATGATTTTATGACACAATTCTAATAATATTCGAAAATTATTATTTATATTATTATTAGCATTTAAATGAAGTGATAATTCAAGAACTTTGACTATCTGTTTGTGGTTTATATATATTATGATGTTCAAAATTATGTTATTTTCCCGTGTTTGTATATTTTGATAAACATTGAAACATAACATATTTTTGAATAATATTTTCAATTTGAATATACTATTTCCAAAAAAAAAATTTGATAAATAAGAATTAGATTGATTTTTCATGAAAAATTTATGATGAAACGTTATATGTTGAGTATTTCCTTTTCAGATTTAACTTGTGTTATTTTTTACATTTATATCGAATTATTAACTCTTAAATTTTTATTTTTTTCAAAGACATTTCAAGGTTCCAAAAACATGAAAATTCAAAATACACTAATTTCATTTACAGATTTCTTATGCTGCAATAAAATTTGAATTAATATCTACAACCGGCGCCCAGTGCTAGAACAACTTCCTAAAGTGGGAATAGAGAGACCTCCCAATTCATTCAACATGGATAGTTTCTTACTTTCACAAATCAACAACTTATTATGGAAGCTCTGAGTACAGAACTGCCTACTGCACATTCCTGCGAGGAATGAGGAGTAGGCAGTCCTGTGGTATCCGTAGGGACTCAATGGCCAGGAGAAAGCTTCCCTGATAGTGCAGCACACGACCTTCGGTGCATTATGACTTCCAAGTCCCACCTGCTGCCTACGTACTATTCGTTCCTGCTATCTGTGCATCGTGCACGGATCCTTGTTTTTTGATGCTACGCAAGTCAAACAATCCGGGTGACTTTTTACATTAAGAACGAGAAGGTGGCGTCTGATGCAGGTCTTCTCCTCACATCCTTCCTCTTTTCGTTCCTACACGTTCTTCCAGCGCACGAATGAATGAATTGATTTCACGTAAAACCCAAACGGCCATAGGACTCGGAGATGATAAAAGCCAGAGGACTACAGACATCACAGATGGAAGAACACAACTCTTTACAAATGTTGTGGACTAAATATGTAGATAGATTCTGCCACTCTAAACTGATCGGATTGAAGAAACCCAGAATAGTAATATCTTTATGATTGTCAAGTGATACGAGTCAAACTCCACACACAAGTGGAACTCGCAGTCCAGTTCTTGAAGATCACAAACTGTACAAAGCTTATCTTCCCTATTTTCTGTGATTGAATAGACCAGATTCTACACGTACATCGTCGGAACCTGTACAAACACGAGCCAGCTTAACTTTATGTTTGATAGCTATGCTTATTGAATTTAATACAGGCTATGATGATAATTTTGAGAGTCGATGTTGCTATAGTATCACAAAATGATTCGGACGAAAATATTTCCTAGGTGCAGCTTGATACCATCGTTTCACAGATATAGTTCCACATTTCCATACTTGTGCATTTGGTCTTGAAAGATGAAATAAAGCACCTGACCCAACTGCTGTCTTGGTGGGTGATGCACTATGCCTCCACCTCTTTGTGGAAAGCGATCTTACAACCCAAGTGAACTAATTCGGATACTATTTCTGCAATGGCCTCAGCATATGTGAAACGTTGCTTAGCTGATATAAGTTGTGTACCAAAAGTGATATTTTTGCTTAGATTATTGCATTCACGGACACGCCTATTTGACAAGAGATACCACGGGGAGCGTTGACGTAGAACTGGAAGCCCGTTGGAGATCTAGAGAAAGTACAATGTCGTCTGCGCAAAATAGGATATGAAGACCTTGCAAATCTGGAGCATCTCCATCCCTCTTCAGGAATAGGTTCTCCAATTCCTCCATGTAGAGAAGAAGGGATGTGAGGGAGGCTAAAGAAAAAACAATTGCAGTTTCTATCCAATCCTTCCACCCGTCGGTCCTAAAAGCTCTTCCGGCGCAACATTATTGTTCTTGGCCGTGACACATCTGTAAGTAGCAATTCAATTAAGTAAATCGTGACTCCACTTCCTGTAAAGGCGGAAGCAAAGGAGACCAGGGTTGAGAATTCCAAGCATTTCCAAGGAGTCGGTGAAGTTAGATGACAGCGGACCGAGAGAGGCCATGGAGAAACTGACAGGATACAGCAGCTACAGAAAAGGAAGCATGTTATATAAAAGTTGCACGCCTATATCAGAAGGCCCTGGCAAACAATAATGCAAACAATCTTGGGGATGGGGATGGCCATCGGCCCTTAGGGCCAGCATGGTATCCACGTCCATATAGATGTACTCAAACTCCTCTACAATCTTCCTAGCCAGAACATTTTGTCTCGCAAAGAGTCCCCACGAGTAAAAATCCGGCCACTTCACTCCATCCCACCCGAACTCCTGTCGTTGCGCCAGAGGTGGGACTGCAGTCGTATTTGTACAATTGGCATGCCCTGTTTCGAGTCCACACAAAGCACATGTCAAAGCCCAGGCCTTGGAGAGGAATCAGATACAGCTTTACAATATCACCCGAACGAACTGCTCTAGAAGCTGGTCGAGTCGAGCAGATGTTTCGACAAGAAAATTGTTTGGAACACTGAGCCGGGAATGTCTCCAAATGTCTGTAAACCTGAGGGGATGCACTTGATTCTTACCAGGTGGTGTGTTCCGGTAGATGACTTGCACATCCGGATACGTCTTCCTCAAAGCAGTGAAGGTTTCTCGGAGTGATCGCTCGTACACTGTGTCGTTCTCGTAGTGCGCGCCGCGATTGAGCAGCAGGATCTTGACGCCGTAGGTCCCGACGAGGTCCATCCACGGGTACTCGTGGAAGTTGCTCCGATCGTCGTAGACCGGGGCGGAGACCAACGACAGACGATCGTTGCGCACGAAGGAGATTTTGAAGCCATTGCCTTGGCCGAATATGTCTGCGCACATCTCATACACTCCGTCGGTGGTCCTGTCGTAGTTCATGAAACGCGCGTACCCCGTTCCGTTGGTGATCAGGTGGTTCATGATCGACCATGATAACCCGTGATTGAGCGAGTCTCCGACCACCATGACGTTCCTCCTCGGTCCTAGCCTCCTGCAGTGACATCCAGTCGACTCCTATCTCAGTCCGAAGCTGACATCACGCTTCAGTTTATAACTCAGTTTTAAGCTGGTTTATAGATTGTGACCAGACATGAAGCTGTACACCTTCATGTCTGCTCCCTATCTGAGGCTTGAATATCTCCCCAATCATGAGCCTTTCCCTGCGAGTGAAGATTATTGTGCAACGTCATGCAAAGCCTGACGGTCGATTTGTGCCGATTCACGTGTGACAAGAAGGAATGTCTGAAGAGACTCTGGTAGGTACAAGCACTCTGCATAACTGGAAGCTTGCATTGGAGTGGAGTGAGAGCAAATGTGGAGGTCTGGACATACCTGCATAGTTCATCTCTAGCTACCCGCTGCAAGGGACAGGTGTCGTTTGATTGCCAGACCCATTTCAGCGCTTCGCGCACCTGAGTAGCGAGACATGAATGCTGGTTAGATTGTGCAGAGTTGCAAGAAAGGCCACACTTTGCTAGGATCATGGTTTACATCATCACAGCGGCAGTATGTTCAGACAGTTACCTCCCATTTGCCATCTCCACTCAGGGCAATGCGGTCGGCCTGCTCTCCATAGACGCCCCCAAGCATTTCGTGGTAGCCGTCGCACATGGTGAGGTACCTCTCACCAACAAAGCTCCAGGGAAGGGGGCGGGGTGTGGGGTCATAAACCCATTTTCCAGATTCACTGCAAAGCCATTCACTCTCAGATTACAACGTCGATGCGTTTCATCATTCTTCCATTCTAGTGCAAGTGAATCGTCCAATACTACACGTGTACGTGCGTACTTTCGTTCTTGTAATACGCAATACGGTTTGAGATTCATGTTCGGAATTTCCTGGTGGCGAAAACATCAGCTGCATAATGTTATAGAAGCAATTGCAAATTCGGCCGCCTACCTGACGCAGTCGAAGTAGGTACGAAAGGCTGCAACTGCCTTTCTTCCTCTGATGGATGTTGCTCTGATGACAGGCTCAGGCTCAGGCTCAGGCTCGCCTTCGGAAGTGGGAGCTGCAGATGATGGGGTCTCCACTTTTGTTTCCTCTGCAGGAAAAAAGTTCTTCCAAGAACCTGGAGCCATAGCTGAATCGGTAACGTTTACGGTTGCTGCGTTTGGAGTCTCTTCTTGTTGCTGCCAACTCGAAGACTCTGTCGGAGACAAATGTGAGATTCCATCTTCCATCGCCGCCTTGGGAGCAACTTCCGTCCAAGACGAAGTGTTGGAGTTCTCGGGCGCACTTGGTTGAGGACTTGGTGCTGGCCCGTCTTCACTCGCTTCCTTGTGCTCCTTAATTCTGCCAGTCTCCTCTTGCTGCTGCCAACTCGAAGACTCTGTCGGAGAGGAAAGTGAGTCTCCATCTTCCATCGCTGCCTCGGGAGCAACTTCCGTCCAAGACGAAGTGCTGGAGTTCTCAGGCGCATTTGGTTGAGGACCTGGTGCTGGCCCGTCTTCACTCGCTTCCTTGTGCTGTTGCTGCCAACTCGAAGACTCTGTCGGAGAGGATAGTGAGTCTCCATCTTCCATCGCTGCCTTGGGAGCAACTTCCGTCCAAGACGAAGTGCTGGAGTTCTCAGGCGTACCTGGTTGAGGACTTGGTGCTGGCCCGTCTTCACTCGCTTCCTTGTGCTCGACCCTGTGCTCTTCCTCGGCAGGACTGCTCATGGGCGCCTCAACTCTTGAAACCTCGGGGGAATGACTCGTGTCCACGGACTGTGCGTCATCTATCCGCCCTTGGATCCAAAGTGATTCGCCTTGAGCACTGCCTGGTGGGAAGATTTTCTCGTCCAATTCTTCGCCAGGAGAACCATTCGCCAGAGGTGGATCCGCGTACTCAAGGTCCACAACATCGGCCGAATCTGCAGGCTCATGATCTCCGGCCTGACGGGATCCTATGTAGGGGGCCGGTGCCTTCCGCGTCACAGTGGAAGGCACTAGAGAGGGCGAAAGTCGATCGCGCTCCACGAGGTCCTCAGAACCCATGGTGGGTGCAGGATACCTGCCGGGCTCGACCTCTGCGTCCTTCGTATTGGATGGATCCGTCCCAGGCAGCGTCAGCCCCACGGCCTCGATGTTCTCTCTCGATACGGAAAGAGGAATGGAGTCCGACGACGTACTGGGAACGACGGGGGACCAGGTCGACATCGCTGCATTTGACAGAAACGGGTCCTCAGAGTCTGTGCCGGGCTCGAGCATCTCCTCGTACACCTCCTCGGGGTCGTGGACAGCTCTCATGGCCGGAAACCTGGTGACAGGTCCCTGGAGGTACTTGCTGAAGGCGGAAGAATTGCTCGACAAATACGGATGTCTGTTGAATCCACTCACCCAGAGGGTACTACTGAGATACACGATGAAAAGCACGATCCACCCTGTGGAGCAAGCTAGCCAGTGCCGAGGCTTGGGGATTGCAATCTTCAATGTCACCGTCCATCCCTCGTTCGCCTTCTGATGTTCCCTGGCGTGTCGAAGGTACGGCGCATTCGGTGAATTGCTCGAAGTCATCATCATCGTCCCCACTCTTCGAGTGCGATCTAATGGCGCTCTTCGAGTCCAATCCAATCCAATCCAATGCAGGACGAATCGGAGGGAATGGCTTCGAACGATAGATTGATTGTTCGTCTGCTCGACGACTACGTCACTACATTAGCTCTACATATTTCCTGCAACTTGTTGTGCCTAAGAAGAACCATGATGTCAACGGCGGGTGTGCTGGTCTGGGCTCTGAGGGGTAACCTCTCATGTCCGTGCAGATCGTTGTCCACAGAGTTTTGCTTTACCAACATCCAACAGGTGTCCTTTAACTGGAACGAGCTTGCAGCATCGGCTGTGACTCATTCGCCCAGGCCAACGATCGAGCACATGTGGGTTCACACACGCGCACGAGCTGGAAAGCTCACACAATCAATGTTGATTCACTGTGCGTGAAGTTCTCTCCAAGTTCTCGCCGTCTTACGAGTGTGCAGTGAGGCTTATTTGGCTCTAGTCTAGTGCATCTCGGTTCGGACACGGACATAGCACGACAGCTTCATCCGAGGCTGCACAAGGCCTGAGCCTCTGTGCTTGACAAATTCCGGCTCCTGTGACGTTTGATCCCATGACTGGCGACATGTTCTGCGGAGTTGACGCCCTTGTTCAGATGTGGCACCGTTCCTGCGCCGAGAATCTCTCTCCTCGGAGCGTGTTACAGTTGTCCCTTCTTCTTTCGGAATTTCACCCCCACAGCCACAGCCGTGCACTCGAGAGAAACTTTCAAACCGCACCATCCCTCCTCCTCCTCCTCCACCCCCACCGCGTTTCTGACACCCCCTACCTCGCCTCTCCTCCAGGCACGGTCCTAAGTCCATCAGAATCTTCATCTTCCACGTCCAGAGTGCAATGTGGCACTTCCCTACTGGTGAAATCGGCTCGAAATTACAGACTCGCCAATTTAGGAGCTTACAAGTCCTCACAAAATATAAGCTCATAAATCCTCAGCGTCACTGCAGTGGAATCACCTTACACAGCTTGACGGAGGATCTTGACGAGCTCTCTTAACCACTCGGGTATCGTTCTCTGTGCTCAAGGAAAGTTTGTCAGGAGATTGGGGATGAATGAGAGGAAAATCCTCGTGCTCGACGGATTTCCCACGATACCCTTAACACAAATTAGTGCGCTGAACGTGGTCCGAGGCGCAAATAGTTGAGCAGTGGATCGAGAGGTACATGTTCTGATAATGTTGGCAAAGTCGGTGCAGGAGGGAAACTACAAAAGAACATGGATTTGTGTGATGATTCCTAGGTTAAGGTCTTCATGTTGTGGCCGAATACATGTGCTCGACATTATAGAATCGGATCTTTCAAACTATCGGATCCGTCTGTCTGCACGAGCATGTGTAGGGCCTTCCCCACGCATTTTGTATAATAGCTTTCTCCCGTCGCCAATAGCCGCTGTTCAAGGGCCACAGTCAACCGAGTTCGCATTCACTTACTATTTGGCTGGGAACTATAATTCCTGTATGTATTGAAGGTCAGAGTAGACGAAGGCTCAGGTAGTCAAACGTGGTTGTACTTTTTGTCAACTTGCAGCCACTAAGTCTTCCTGTAGTTTGAATTATGTTGTAATCCAGTAGCGAGTGGCACGTGATCTATGCCTGGGGTTTGCATCCCATCCGTGGGTTCCTAGAGAATACTTGCTCCGATCTCCTAGTTGTTTTTTTATTGTCTCTAAGATCAAGGATCCCGTTTTGTTCCAATGCTAGTGGACGTTCTCGTTTGTTTCAGATTCGAATGATGAACTTCAGCCTAAAACTACGCTCGTCCTTCCAACTAGAACCTTTTCAGGGATTTTAGGATCCAGTCACGTAACACTGTATGGCTCACCGTAGCAAAACCCAGACCGCGGTGATTACAGATGCCCTCGTATTTCTCCACGGCATGAGGCAGTTCCTGAAGCTCGGTTTGTAAAATATTGTGTGCAGTTGCGTGATTTCTAATCTTCCTTGAGGGAAGGTAGAAGGAGTGGAAGCAATAAATTCGCCATTCTGTGCCTGACCTTGCAGCAGTGTTCACTCGTCCTCAGATTCGCCTGAGGTCCTGCTTCTGTGTACATCAATCCTCTGTACTATGTGTCCATGAGAATAAACGTTTGGTGTATATTCTTTCGGTGAGTGCTCTAGATTCGCGATTCGAGCCGAAGCTCTGGACAATGTCGTCTCTTGTCATGACGATTGAATATGTATATCATCCCGAGTCTAAAGTTCGACTTCTTTTTGGCTGGCCATCAGAAACCAGTCTCTTCTTGAACTTTTGTTCTAATCCGCTCGGCCAGTTTTTACAGTTGTTTATAACCTTCATAGGATTTCTCAATATCCTCTCAAGGACCGAAATGGAGATGAAAGAGGTGCAAGGAAGCATCTGGAGTATGGATCAGAAATGTACATAATTTTCCCACATTTGCCCGTCTCGGAGATAGAGTGACTTGTGTAGATGTGTCGCAATTGATTATGAGACAAATTTGTTGATTATTGGAAGTTTACATTGAGGGCGACGGTACGGGGTAACCGATTGCAGAGAGTGCAGTAACCGATTAATTTTCCAAGCAGGACAGATTCCCATCATCCAAAATTTTACGGGGATTGAAATGATAACAGAATCAAATGGAGCTGTAACTGTAAGTTACGAATAAAATGTGCACGAACCAGGATTTCCGAGGGACTTGGAGAGACTGAGCACTCTGCCTATAACCCAGTACAATTGACCTCGTCAGAGGCTATACAGAGATAGAGGGAGGCTTCCCCGGTGGTCAATAGATGTTCTCTTTTATCCTTTTTGTGCAATAAATTAGTCCTACAAGTGTTATCCGTTGCTGAGATCCATGCATTGCTTAAAGTGCTCATTGGCAGATTGGTAAGAGAAATCTCGAGAGGAGTTTTGTTCCTCCTAGAAGCCCATGTGATCTTATAGCTGAACCCAGTATCGTCCGCTGAGGCTAACACAACTTTGGGTCAGTGCTCTTGATACCGTTGTTAAGTTTCAGGTAAGTTTCAGGGTGCAGTGTTTTGGTCGAGTTTCGGTGGAACTTATTTTTCAAATACGTAATGTCACTCTCAATTGACTACAACCATATCGCAATAACCTTCTCCAACAATTTTAGGCTAACTCAATGCTTGAGCATTTGACAAATTACTGAAATGCTATGTAGGAGATAAAAGCCAATTCAACGAAGGCCAGATCGGAATCAACTGAAAGGCGCAGTGTTTCGTCTTCTAACACATCTTGAGATGAAATCAACGAGATTTTGCAGACACTAGTTTTGAAGATTCACAACCAAGAGATTATCAACCGCCCAATTCGTATTTTGCGAATTAAATTCTCTTGATTTTAGGCAATTGAGGATGTGAGCGTATAAGGATGCCTTGTTGCTGAGGATCTCGGCGCGAAAATGAGGCATCGTGAGTGCGGATCTCTAATCCACGTCACACGCACCTCGAGATCTCGCAGCTGCATATTCAGAAGCGTCGTGATTCATTTACTCCCACTCTTCGGCTGTGATGGAATCAAAGATACAGTCCCGCTCTCCGTACTGGGGACCGAGTCCCGGTGCATATGCGGCATAGACAATACGCGTGTAATATATATAGCTCAGAAAATTGAGGAATACATTTTCGTTCGAAGTTTTATTAATTGTAGGTTCTGAAAACAGTAAATCTGGGTTGAGTTCTATGTCGGTGGGTGAAGAATATCTCGATGCTCTTCTGCTTGTAGCGTTGAGGGGGTGACTTGCACAACATTAAAAGGATATAATAGGTCGGAATTTTTTCTCATTGAATTTCTTCATTATGCGGCAAATGTTGTGGCGAAAACGCTATTTATCTTAAAATGTGCACAAAACATAACAGCAAGGCCTGGACTTGTCGTCAGTGCGCGATTCTGCAGATTATGCCGAGAGATTACTGTGCAGTTCCCGATTCCCGAACATGACCCGAAAGAGTAGCATACGCACAGTGCAGACATCTTGCTCGTATTCTATAGATGCTCGGATCAAACGTGACTTCTACAGTAGCTGGAGCTTCATCTGTAATCGGTTCGAGTGTATCATGCGAGCTCCAAAGATTTCAGCTACTGATATTATATTTTGGTGAAAATCAGGTCTTCATGATCACATATGCTATGGCCGCTGGTGGCACTTGAGAATGCGTATATAACTCTGAGCCAGACACCTCCATAAGCAGGTCTTCATGATCACATATGCTATGGCCGCTGGTGGCACTTGAGAATGCGTATATAACTCTGAGCCAGACACCTCCATAAGCATTGAGGTGCAAAACAGGCTGTCAACCAATCCCCTTCATCCAGATAGAGAATTTCGTTTTGTCTTTACATTCTTAGATACTGTTAAGTAGAATCGTCAGCCTTAATTCATGGAGCCAAGGTACAGCGTGGTTCTGACCTTGATCTTCACTATGTCTGTTGACCTTCTTGCACTGACCTCGATTTTGAGATGGAGAAAACGCTCTAGAACAGTCAGCTGATACATTGCTCCACAAAGACGTGGACTCCCGATATCCAGAGAATTACACCCTTGTTTAACTGTACGAGACTACTACCACAGGTTATATGCCTTCGTCGAATGTGGTTTTGTGATATCTGTAAGCAAATATATTCCACTATTCAATTAAATCACCACAAATCAGATAGATAATGACAGAGACATTGCAAGGACGGCAACATAAGTACAATTGATATCACCCCCGTTGACAACTACAGTGCTGAAGAACGATGGGAACAGCAGTCAACTTGTTACAAGTGATATCTTACATGATCTACGGAAGTACTTATTTGTGTACTGTAAGACTATCACAGTCCCATACATGCAAGTGACAAAAAAAAGTTATAAAATAAGGCACAGCTCATCAGCTCTATGAAACTTATTATCTGGCCATGGCTTCAGCTACAGACTACAGACTCATGTTATCCTGTGAAAGGAAGAAGGGTGAACGGATTGGTGCTGAATTAAAGCCATAAGCGTTGAAGTATGCAGGATCTGAGAAGCCTTTAAAGGGAAGAATTATCGTCCCGGGCCTCAGGCAGATTATCCTCGAAAACTTCTTCCCAGGGCTGAGTAATCATTTTGTAGAAGATCAAGGTGCTGGAAATTTTCTGTATGATCGTTGAATATCTTTCCAGCATCAATGTGGGAATCTGCCACAGGTGCATGGACTAGCTGGAAGCCGTGAAGTACAGGCTAGAGTAAACTTCCATTGTCGAAGACAATTTGCCAAACGTAGCCTGCGGACATCACCGTCGAATTGCTGGTGCTACAGGTACGAGAGGAAGAAGTATATCAAACCCCATAGCCAGTAAAAGTTGCTTGTCAAGTCTATCCAGAATTTCGACAG